TCCTTGTCGCTGCTATGTCGGCGTTTGGTCATAGCGGCGCTGTGCTAGCGAAATTCCGAAAGAGCTCCTCAGAATCGTCGGGGAGGGTTCATATTGTAGGGGCAGATTTGAAACTGAGAGATGAATGGGTGGGGGTAATCGAATGACACATAGTACGGGGTTAATGGACTAGTCTAATCCAGATATATGATGGGTGGGGGTCATTTCGGAGTAGGTGGGGGTTTGCAACAATCGCAATGGTGGCGCGTACATGGTGGGGAGGAGAGCATCCAATTTCACAGTAGCAGCACGTTGTGAGCCTGCAGAATATGTACACGTATTCAGAACTACATTTGATATTCTAATCTTAAGTGAATGATATCTTGATTGTGTGTGGTACAACATTCTGTTTTCACCATTTTTCGAGTCGCCAACTGCTGCAGATTTGCATTTAGAAGTACCATGCCGGATGATTTTGGTGTGCTGACTCACTTCTGAAGCCATGTTGATCTTGTACAAATGTATCTGAAAAGGATTTATTTATTAGCAACATCATCTTATACGATTTCACCCATGATGATCTTAGTGCTCCTATAAGCAATTTCATCGACACGCTGGTCCGCAGATACCAAATGGTCTCTTAAGAGGATCATTCTTGCTACAAAGTGAACAACAGAAGGTAGTGTACAAACCCTTTCCATTGCCACTTCTACAGATCCTGCATCTCACTCTTTTCGACCGCTGTGCATTCACCCCTTGTGTACTTTGTTGGATGAGCGTGGTCGTCAACAAGCATGATCCAACGGCGCTTCTGCTTCATGACTGTCATCATCCACGCTGGTATCTGTGCTATCCTGTCCTCCTCTTCTTGGGATCGATGAATCTGGACAACCTTGGTACGAATTTCTCATGAACACCAGATGACTGGGGACTTCTTTTGGTGGCATTCCAACACGGAAAATCTTGTATGCATCCACTTCAATGAACCCAAGTATCGTACAGAACATTCTGAATCTCCAGTCATGAGTTCCAACTTTTTCTTCTAGTCCCAGTCCACTCTGTCTGAGGTGATTGTGCACATCGATCACAGATGCTCCGTTGAAATATGACTTGATCATGGCTGTTCTTGGAGTTGATATCTTGTTTTTCTTCCCTGTTCCTGGCTGACCCTTCCTTCGATACCGAACTTTCAAATGGGGATCGGTTTCTTCTGTTGATCTACCATTCCCAAGTAATCAACCAAGTACCAATCGACCATCCAGTCGTGCAGGACGCAGAGAAGGTGGGAAGAGGAGGAGGGGAAGAGGAGGGGTGGGGAATTCAAGGAGAAATAGAGCGAAGCAGGAGAGTGTGAGAATGAAGAAGAGCAGGAAGGGAGGCAGGGAGGCAGGGAGGCAGGGAGGGAGAGGAGGCAGGGAGGCAGGGAGGGAGAGGAGGCAGGGAGGGAGAGGAGGCAGGGAGGGAGAGGAGGCAGGGAGGGAGGAAGGGGAGGGGGAGGGAGGAGAGATGGAGGAGCAGGAGCTAAGCTGAACGGCAGACTCACGAGATGGAGATGGACGCATCTGAGCGACACAAGACCGACTGGCGAGGACTCGGTGACTCCCTTGCTCGAACTGCTGATGCTGCTGCTATCATACACGTTTCTCGTCTTGCTCCCCTTCTCCCAACCTCTGCTTATCTTCTGCTTTCTTCAGTAGTCAGCTACACAGCTTTCCGATCCCTTT